TGACCCAGCAATCCCACCACTGGGTATATACCCAGAGAAAACCATAATTCAAAAAGACACATGCACCCAATATTCACTGCAGCACTATTTACAATAGCCAGGTCATGGAAGCAACCTAAATGCCCATCGACAGATGAATGGATAAAGAAGATGTGGTACATATATACAATGGAATATTAGCCATAAAAGAATGAAATCAGATCATTTGTAGAGATGTGGATAGATCCTGAGACTGTCATACAGAGTGAAATAAGTCAGAAAGAGAAAACAAATATCGTATATTAACGCACATATGTGGAACCTAGAGAAATGGTTCAGATGAACTGGTTTGCAGGGCAGAAATTGAGACACAGATGCAGAGAACAAACATATGGACACCAAGGGGGGAAAGTGGCGTTGGGCGGGGTGTCGTGGTGGTGTGATGAATTGGGAGATTGTGATTGACATGTATACACTAATATGTACCAAATGGATAACTAATAAGAACCTACTGTATAAAAAGCAAACAAAATTAAATTAAAAAAGGAAATGGTAAGAAGACCATTTTTCTTTTCTTTTCTTTTTGGCCGTGCCCTCCAGCTTGTGGGATCTTAGTTTCTCGACCAGGGATCGAACCAGTGCCCCCTGCAGTGGAAGCCTGGAGTCCTAACCACTGAATTGCTGGGGAATTCCCAAGACCATTTTTCTTTCAATTAAATAGTTTTATTTAAATTATTTTCTCACTGGGACTTCCCTGGCTGTCCAGTGGTTGAGACTCCACGCTTCCACTGCAGAGGGTGCAGGTTTGATCCCTGGTCGGGGAACTAAGATCCCGCATGCCACATAGCCAAAAAATTAATTAATTAATTAATTAAATCATTTTCTCACCAAAGTCCCAGCCATCAGATTTGCTACCAGTATTTGGATATGCTGGTATGGTCAGTGGATTATGGAATGCTCTGAGATTCCTTAAGCAAGTTTAAGAGCCCAGGAAAGATCATCCATTTGTAAAGCATCTCCTCTGCCTCATGATCTAGTCTTTCACCCCTAAAGTTTCTAAAATTCAGCAATCAGTCCAGCACACCATGACTTACCAAAGAACTCAGGTATTGGAATTAGAATGCCAGTACGTGATTCTTCACATCACTAGAATTGCCAAGGGAATCCACACCTGCCACTGCAGTTCATATGTTCTTTCCCCAGGGAGAGAAGCTGGGTTGATATGAGAAAGTTACCTGGCAACTACATTACCAGAGAAAAGATGATCAATGATTTTAGGGCTACTTTCTAAAGAGTCTTGTGTCCTTCACAGCACCTAAACACATGCCTAATACATAGTAGATGCTCAATAAATACTTAGTGAGTTGAATTAATTAACAAGCCCCATGAATCTCCCTTTTTCACACTAGGAACTAAAAATGTCAAATGAACCATTTTCATATTTGCCACTTTGGGGTCATCCTGTCACTTGGACAATGCTGAACAAACAATGACGTTTCCCCTCTTTCCACATTTGCATAATGCCTCCCCAAAGACGTCTAGTTATATTGTCCCAGCCTGAATTTGTTTTTCTAGTTGTAGATCAGAACCATGACCTATTGTCTCAGTTCCCTACCCAGTAATACTGAAGTATGTCTCCAGGACTAGCCACCTAGCAGCATAATCTTGGTGAGCTCATCAAAGTCCAGAGTCGTGCAGGCTCAAAAGTTTTATTGATCAGCACACTCAGATTAGATGAAGTTCTCAGGAGGTAGAATCACAATGACTAAACTCCTAAGTTGATATACACACCAGAATGCCAGTTGATTAATTTATGAGAATTGTATTTTCCAAGGAGATATCCCCTAGCTAATTCGTTTAAATTGCAAAATTACTTGGGGGAAAATAGGAAGAAAATAGACAGGCGTTCTTCAGACACTTCAGAGTTTTGCAGAGTCTCCCTACGGAAAGTACAGGACGTTTTGAATCTAACTTGCATTTAGGGGCATAGTAAGACACAGAGAATTACAGGGAGGAGAAAAAGCTTGGGACATGAATGCATCATGGGGATCACATACGCCATCATCAAAGTGTACACATATTCATCTTCCATTCTCAGTGGTGTGCTTGAAACAAAGTCAAAAATTGGGAAAAAAGCCATTAAATGTGAGGAAAGCTCCTTGTTATTAAGGACTTTGACGTTCCATTTCTAGGGTTTCAGAAGAAAAAATATGTTTTGTGTCTTATTCAGTTGGATATTCAAAAAAATGCAAAACAAAAGATATACAAAGAACTATAGAAGGTTCACCAGCCTTAGTAAAATATAAATGTAGAGAATTTGAATATGCTAGTGTGGTCATTGGATTTAAATGAATTTAAGAGCCCATCTCTTAGAGCCTTTCACAGAGTCTGTCCAAGTCCCACCTTGCCCTGTATCCTAGCAAAGTGAGTGCAATGACTAAATTTTGAACCTGTCAATGAAGGGTGTCAGTCCTTTTTCCGTCTTCACAGCCTTCAGGTTCAATTACATGGCTGTGGTTAGGAGATGTTGGAATAAAGGAGATGGTGAGAAATAAGAATTGGAAAGTACCTTTGGCTTGGTGAGCTTATGCTCTAGTATGTGAATTCTAAATTACAGGCTAATTTGGACACTCCATTAACGATTGGGTGGAAAAATCCAGTTTATTTGACTATATAGATGGGTTGAGCACATCAACTTTACTGAGTACTTATCCTGGGCTATGCTATGTAACAATCTAAACCCTTTATAGGATCAACTCCTTTAACCCTCACGACAACCTACACCATCCCCATTTTAAGATGAGGACATTGGAGCACAAGAGGAAATGTGCTCCCAGTACACAGTGGTAGGTCTGGGAATCAAACCCAAGTACTCTTGACTCTAAAGCTTGTGCCTTTTCCAAATTTTTTTCTTTTTGTAATAATCACAAACTTACAGAAATGTTGGAAGCATGATATAAAGGACTTTCTCTCCCTGGATCATTTGAGAGTAAGTTGACAGCATGATACTCTGTCTTCCCCAAATATTTTACTGTGTATCTCTAACAAACAAGGACGTTCTCCTACAGGACCACCATGTAGCCATCAAAATTACTAAATGAACATCAATACATTATATTATTTAATCCTGAGACCCCATTCAGCTTTTGCCAGTTGTCCCAACAATGCATTTCATAGCAAAAGGATTCTGTTCAAAATTACACGTTGCATGTAGTTGTCATGTCTCCTTAGTCTCTGTCAGTCTGAAATTGTTCCTCTGTCTTTTCTTGACTTTCGTGACCCTGACATTTTAAAAGATCATCCAGTTATTTAGTAGAACATAGCTCAATTTCAGTTTTTTCCTCATAGTTAGATTCAGGTCATCTTTGTCAGGAATTCCACACATGTGATGTTGCATTCTTCTCATCGTATGCTGTCAGGTGGTGCTATGGACTGAATTTGTACCCCACCTGAAAATTCATATATTGAAACCCTAAACCCCAATGTAATTAATTGTATTTGAACATGGAGCCTTTAGGAGGTAATTAGGGTTAAGTGGTATCATAAGGGTGTGCCCCTCATCTGATGGGATTGGTGACCTTACAAAGAGAAGAAGGAGAGGGAGATCTTTCTCTCTCCACACACAGTCAAAGGAAAGGCCAACTGTAGACAAACCAGCCTTCTGCAAGCCAGGAACGAGCCCTCACCAGAAACTGAATCCTGCCAGAACCTTAATCTTGGGTTTCCAGGCTCCATAATTGTGAGAAAATTAATTCCTATTGTTTAAGTCACTCAATCTATGGTATTTAGTTATGGCAGCCTAAACAGACTAAGACAGGTGGTGTAAATTTCAATGTCTTCAGACTAAGACAGGTGTTGTAAATTTCAATGTCTCCCATTACTAGTGATGCTACTTGGATCACTAAATGAAGGTGGTGTCTGCTAGGCTTTTCCATTATTTCCTGTTTTGTAATTAATAAGCATTTTACAGGGAAATACTTTGAAACTACTTAAATATCCTGATACTAATGAAACTCAATTTAATCTTTTATTTATTTACATCTTACAGAATCAATGTTTCCTATTCTATGGTTTATAACTTCTTAATATCATTATATTTTTGTCCCTTGTTTCATCACTGGGAGTCCATTCAAACTGGCTTTTGTGTTTTTTGACTTGTCCCCATATTCCTTGAGCATTTCCTTGCTTTCCGCCACATCAAGATGTCCCAGGCTTATGTTTTGTTAACCCTCTCTAGCACTCTGTTTCATCATCTGAAATGTGGATATAGTAAATGGCAGGAACAATGTAAGGATCAAAGTAGATAGTGCATGTGCAAGTGCTTAGAGAAAACCGCTCAGTGTTGTACTTAATCAAAGATGGTATACTTACCCTAAGGAGGTTTATCAGTCTATATCACATCCCAGCTCCCTCCATTTATATCCTGATGGAGTACTACTCTCACTGTGCAGCCAGATTGTTTATAAATGATGGATGGATGAAGTGGGGCCAGAATAAAGGCAGAGAGAAGCCTCCACTTTTCTTTCCCACACACTCTTATCCCAACCCATGAGCTCCCTCTTCAGAATATATTCAGAATATCCCAATCCAGAATCACACACACACACACACACACACACACACACACACACACACACACACGAAAATTAGGAAAGTATTTGAATGTCCATCAAAAGGGAAATGATTGAAGATTGAACACATAATGGTGAATGCCAAACACAGGAGTTTAAAAAAAAAAAAGAGGAGGTTGATATATTGAAACAGAAAAACTTGTAAGATATACTAAGTAGACAAAATTACAGATTAAGATCCAGCAAGACATACACACTAATGACAGTTATTTCCTCTGGAGAGGGAGTGTAACTTGGGAGTTAAGGGATGAGAGGCTTCATTTTTAAATGAGAATGTTTTGCGATACTTGTGGAATATGAAAAAATTAAAACAGAGGGAAGAAAAGCATTGGGTTAGAAGCGAGTTCTAGTCCTACTTCTGTGATTAGACAGTCACTTAAACTGTCGCAGTTTTCTCGTCTGGAGGACGGTAATAGTACTGGCTTCATAGGATTGGTGTGAGGATAAGTTACTGTGTACATGTATAAAACTGTGCCAAACATATAGTAAGCGTTACGTATTTTTGATACTGTCATTGTCTCATCTGTAAGTAGGGTACGAGTCCGGGTAGGCCTGGTACAAAGACCCTTCCAAGTAAGAGAAGCGGAACCTCCTGTCGAGCAGAACAGCAGCAGTAACCAATAGGAGGGATTAACAAACGTCCAGATCCAGGGCCCCGGGTTTTCGAACAGCGTTATTGGTCCAGGTTATGACGCAAACGAGGAACCTGTCTCCTCATTGGGGAAGACTGCTGTCGATTAGCGGGGGGGCGGGACCATCTGGGGAGGGTTGTGCGTATCCGGCGGCGCTGTTTTCCGTCTTAGCCCTTGCGCATTCGTCAGGCTTTCTGGAAGTCCCGGCCTGCCTCGCGGCAGTTTCAGGCCGCGCGCTCTGGGAAATTTGACCAGGTGGGTGAGTCGCGCGTTTGAGGCTTTTCGCGGCGGGGCGGGCTGGAGCTCCGCGGCTCCGCCCTCTCCCCTGAGGCTCTCATGCTGTCCTGGGTCTTGTGACGGGAAGGCTCTCAGTGGCCGTGACCCGGTGCCGCCTCCCTCTGTTTGGAGAGGCTGGGAACATGGTAGGCTGGTGTACGGGACCTGTCGCTCTTTGGAGGCTCCTGTCCGCTTTCTTTCCCTGTGAAGTGTGCTTTGAAAGGCGCAGAGCCTTTTACCCTTGTGCTTTACGTGAATAAAACACTGGTTCACCGAGGCCCTATCGCGTCCTTGTGCGCCCTTGTGTTGGGCAGTGAGGACATGAACGCAGCTCAGACATGCTCCTTGCACTCAGAGAGCGCCCAAACTGTGGAGTAGATAAACTTGCAGAAACAAGTTCTGGTGTTAGGTGGAGTAAGAGAAGGTTCCCCGAGAAAGAGTTACAGACAGGGCCGAGGAGTTCAGAGCGTCAAGGAAGCGTCAAGAAGGTGGTGATGGTGCTGTTACCAATCCTCTATCAGTGGGTTTTTTGTCTTCTTTGATGGACTCCACTCATGAGAACATAAAATTTACCGTATTTCTAATTTCTAGGCTTAGGTGCCCTTCCTCCCTAGCTTGGGAGGAATGGAGATTGGCAGCCCCTGGTGTTCAGTTTCTCTGGAAAGAATGAAATTAGGTCTTGGGAAAAGGTTAGAGGGCAAAGACACTATGGAAAGCAGAGAGCCTGTTCCACGATGTGGGACCAGTTCACCTGTGCTGGATTGTAGACCATGTGTAGGAGAGTGCGCAGTGAGACTGGAGCAGTAGGTTAGATCTAGAATCCAGGGAGAGCCTTTGCAAGTTAGGAGATCTTGACTTATTTCAGTGGTATTAGGAAGTCTTGAAGGCTTTTGAGCAGAGCAGTTTACACAATTGAATTAGATTTGTAGAAAGTCAAGAGATCCAGATCTGCTCTGTAGGAAGATCAGGTAGATAGATGGAAGACTCTTGTACCAGCCTGGCCTAATGATGTGTCCCTGACCAGGGGTTCTCAGCCAGGGAAGATTTTGACCCCCCAAAGATATTTGGCAAAATCTGGAGTAGTCTTGTCATGACTGACAGGTGCTCCTGACATCTAGTGGGTGGAGACAAGGAGTGCAGCTAAACATCCTACAATGCATAGGACACCCCCCCAACCCCCCACCCCGACCCCCACAGACAACAAAGACCTGTCTGGCCCCAAATGTCAATACTGTCGTGCTGAAGTTCAAGGGAATCCCCTGGAGGTCCAGCAGTTAGGACTCCACACTTCCACTGCAGGGGGCTGGGGTTCGATTCCTGGTCGGTGAACTAAGATCCTGCGTGCCGCGCAGCGTAGCCAAAAAACAAAAACCTGAGCTTTAAAACAACAACAAAAAATAGTGCTGAAGTTCCGAAATGCAACCTTATAGCGATAGAAGTGGAAACGAAGGGGAGACAGATTTCAGAGACGTCTCAGCCAGAGACCAGTCTTCGCCTCCTTTCATATTCTTTACAATGCTTAAGTACTTTAAGCAGTCAATCAGGTCTAAAGACCCAGACTTCCTTGTCTTTTTTCACCCTTTCATTCCTTTGCAAAATATTTATTTTGCATGAGACACTATTCAAGGTGCTGTGATTCAGCAATGAACAAAACAAATTACCTGCTCTCCAAGAACCTTACATTCTTGTAGGGATGACAGACATGAAACCAATAAATATATATCAAGTAGTGAGATATGCTATAAAGAAGTTCCTGTAAGATAGAGCTTCTGTTATTATCACCACAGACCATTTACTCTGCATCTTGTAAGTGCCAAGCACTGGCCAGATGCTTTACAAATAGCATTTCTAATCTTTTTCTGTATGCTGCAGGATTGGTATAGTTATGCTCAGATGAGAAAAAGAAGCTTAGAGAAGTTGAGTATTTTGCCCCACATCAGTTAATGAGGAGTTGAGCTGGCACTGGAAACTGGATCCACCTGACAAAGTCTGTGAGATTTCCATTAGGACACTGTCTGACTTGAATGGGAGCGCAGTGGTTGAGAGTCCGCCTGCCGATGCAGGGGACGCGGATTCGTGCCCAGTCCGGGAAGATCCCACGTGCCGCGGAGCGGCTGGTCCCATGAGCCATGGCCACTGAGCCTGCGTGTCCGGAGCCTGTGCTCCGCAGCTGGAGAGGCCACAACAGTGAGAGGCCCGTGTACTGCAAAAAAAAAAAACTATACCTTCTCACCCAAACTTAGCAAAGTGAAGTAGAAATGAAGTTCTTATTGGAGAGGCCTAGCTGGAAGTGATTCTCCACATTGTAGGAACTGCATTTGAGAACACATGAGCCTCAGTTGAATTTGTCTTCATTACTCACGTTCTCTCAGGTGGCTGATGGCAGGTTCTGACATCTCAGAGAGGTTGGCAACTTGGAGGTCTCCCACCAGCTCTTCAGACTCTCACGATATTGGCAACTGCTGGGCCTCACTCACAAGCTTTCAGCCAGCTCTGGGAGCTGTGCTTATGATGGCTGCAGCCCAAACTACATCAACGAGAAGATCCTGGAGCTGAAGCAATTCCCTACACGTCTTCCTTTCTGCATAGGAAGATCCAAGCCTGGATGAGGGTGCATCATCCAGGAAGCGTTGAGAAGGCAGTGACCTTGGTGCAGCTTTTAGAGTGAGAACCCAGGAGACGAAGGCAGTGGTGAGAAGGGGAGTAAGGAAAGAGAAATGGGATCAGGTTGGAGAGGGCCTGGGTTAGGGGACAAGCAGTTGGAACAAGGTGGAAAAACTTGATTTAGCTGTTGCTTCTCAAGCACTTGTTTGTTTTCCTTATTGGTGTCCATGCCAGCTTTTAAGAGAACAGATTTTCTTTCCCCTTTGAAGGAAGGAGGGTGGGTGGAGAGAGAGTTTGGATCCTCATCAATCACCGAGCTTTCAGTAGGTCTCAGCTGCCAAGAATAAAGGAAGGGAAGTATTTGTCCCTGTAGAACTCAGGCTTTCTCCTCTGCAGGTTATAATGACCTGAGCCAGCTCTGTAAACGAGAGTCTTCTGGTTCTTGACATGCCTGTTGAAGACAGAGGGATTGTAACGCTCAGCTAGCTGTGGGAACTTTGGTTACGTCCTCAGGGTCTGGGTCACACCTCTCACAAAACAGATAAACAGAACCGGATTTCTGGTCAGGAGAGGGCCAGACTGGGACCTGCTGAGGACTGATAGTAGTGCTGCAAGATATAACAGCGCTGTGGGGCCCTGGGCAGGGGCTGCCCCAGACCTCCCAGCACTGCCCTGAGCACACAGGACTCGGAAGCACTCTCTGCTGTTCTGCTCAGCCACACACATCATATTCCGCAATCAAGTTTCTAACTCTGGCTTTGCAGGAATCTCCGTTCCTATACTTTTCCTCCCTGGGCCCATATGATGATCTTTGGCGGGGGAGGTAGGGTGTCCATTGATGGGGTTTATTTCCAGGTGATGGTGTTTGTGCTCCAAGAAGAGCCAGCAACCGGGGTTATGGCGGGGAGGGGGGCAGTTACCAGGCTTCTATTGGAGACCATGAAGCCCATCCTCAGGGGCTTTCCCAAGAAAAGAGGCAGAGCTATGCTCAGACCACTCAGACCCTGGGGCCTTAAAGAACAACCCACCTATTTGAAGAACAGAGTCTCAGGCTGGAAAGGGGAGAGGCAGGAAGAATCCAGGAATGAGAGGTTGTCCGTGCCTGTGCCATCCATCAGAGACGTAACCTTATCGTTCGGTCATGACCACAGTTGGGAGCAGGAAGCTAGTGATTTGGGACGCAGTTGTGGTTTTGAGGCAGCTCAGTTCCATATACAGGCTTTGTCGTTCCCTCTGGTTCTCCCTTCAGAAAACTTCATTCCATGACAGCTCTTAGAAGGGTCATGTATGAATCAGGTCTAGGGGCTTACATGGTGACCTGCTGCCATACAAGGCAGAGGGCCGGATCTTAGTTTAGACCTGTAAGACTCTGCCACTATCAGGTGGCAGGGTCTTGACTCTCTGCCCAGCCACACGTACCGTGCCTCGACGGAAGGGGTACCTTTTTACCATCCTGTATAACAAGTGAGATCTCTGATGGGTCTCCTTTTCTGTCTTTTTAATGGGTCTCTTTTTGCTTTTTCTCACTTTTGGCTGTAAAAGTTTCTTGGGAACCATGTCTAATCTATACTGTGTAATAACTAGCTCTTAATCTTGTGCCAGGCACAACACCATGCCCGGGAGGTAGTTGCTGGTAATGGGTGTGACATGAAACCTCAACTGTACCTTCCTCCTCCCCAGGAGGCTGGGCCTACGGCCCCTGCCACAACAAGGCTGCCCTCGTGGCATGAACATGTAGTATAAGGTCTGTGTTTGGAGGTTTCACAGAAATTGTTAGCCAGAAAGAGTGTTGAGAGTGACAGTGAAAAATTAAAGGTTTTGAAATTGATCTGACCCAGGTTCAAAATCCAGCTCTTTCACTTTAATCACTATGCAAGTCACTTTAAACCTATGATAGCAGGTGTGCATTGGGGCTACCAGGAAACCCAGACTTTACTTGCAAATCTCAGTAAATCCCCAATTTATCAAAAACTCCAGAAGTGCCACTAGAATGGCCAAGTGTACAGGGAATGCCTGAGCAGCTTCAGGACCACAGCTTTCTCCAGATGCCAGAACAGAGTGGCCCAAGTTCAAAATCCTTCAGGCTAACTTCCATATCACAGGGAGTAGCCAGGTTAATTGCTAGTGTCCTGTGACCTGCACTCAGTCCTTCTTTGTCTCTATCCAGAAGCTGAGCCGAGGACGAGCAGCAGGACTGCGAGGAGGCTGGAGCTGATGATGGTGAAAGCGAGGATTCGCCTGTGATGGTGTCAGCGATGACATGGGCACAGTCTCACCCAGGACCCCAGGAGTCCTGGCTGTTCCCAAACTGACCGGTAAGGCAGTCCCTCACAGGAGAGGCAGACAAGAGGTGGCAAGAGGAAAGGAAGTTGGGTAGGAGGCCTGAGGGGCCCAGCTCTGGCTTTGGCTGTGACCACCCATCAGCCACCTTAGGCTGAGGAACCACAGCAGATGTGTGAAAAGGGAATGGTGTGCAGGCTTCGCGCTACTTCTCTGGGTTGTGAGAATATTTATTTGATCCTGTCTGTGGCAAGTGGTTAGCGGTCCTTGGAAAAAAGGCATGCTGTCAATTGAAAAATTGTATCAATGAGTTAAAATGTTTCAGTGAGGAAGGGATGTACAGACACTATATGGAGAGCCCCAGTATTAAACGTACAGGGGAAAACTGGCTTTTCAATGGATATCTGAAGGGCTGAAGCAAACCAGGAGTATAAGTTACACGTCAGAGGAAATGGATAGACTTGGGGGTGTTGCCTTTTGTACAACCTACTTCAAATTTATTCTCAAGTGGTTGGTGCAGTGATCATGCTGATTTGTCAGTGGGACGTAGACACTAAGGTAACAGAGGTGGTAACTGTAGGAAGCAGTGACCACACAGGGAGTAGGGGGAAAGGTTGGGTTTATCAGAACTCAGAAGCAGGTTGGGTTATCAGAACTCGGAACTTAGAAGAGTGGCCCTGCGAGCTGGAACTCAGATCTTGGGGCTTGGGGGCTGGGTGTGCTGCCTGACTTGTGCTGTATTTCTGAGGGGTCCAGTAAGGCTGGTTCTGGAAGGAAGATACAGTGTGTTTCGTTCACTGCTTTGTATTTGGCTTCTGTGTAATACCTGGTACTTTATAGGCAATCAAATGTTTCCTGAATGAATGAATAACTGGATGTATTCTCCAGTTCTTACTGTCTGCTCCAGACCCTCCCAAGAGGCTGACAGGCAAGGGCTGCGTGCTCTAGTACTCTGTGTTCTTTCTCCTGCCCAGCAGACTACAGGATAAAGCAGTTTGGACGGTGGAGACAATCTAAGAATGCAAGGAGTTGTTCAACAGTTGCATCCCAGTTTCCCTGGTTACCGCAGACCCAGGAGTGGGAGGAACCTGCCTGTGAGGCCTGGGTACCTGTGCTTCCTTAGCGATTCCATTGACTTTCACTGGCTTTCCTCACTTATCAAAGCCAGCTTCTTTGAGCTGGTGTACAAAGCCCTTCAGTAGTTGATCCACCCCGGGCTGTCCCCTCTTCCCCACCATGATCTCCAATGAAGTCAGGCTGTCCCCCAATGGGTCACATTCAAGCCCATCTCTTTGCCTTTGCCTGAGCTTTCCTAAGGTATCATTTTTTTCCCACTCTCTGTAGAGCAGAGGTAAGTATGTGACTCTGGGAACTGACCTGCATAGCTTGTCCACTGGGCCATGTTCAAGGACCGTGTATGCAGAGAACTGTGGGATGGGCCAAGCGAGACTCAAGCTGAGGAAACACTGAAGTATATTTTTCTGTCCTGCCTTTGCTTCTCTTTTTCTAAATTAAAAAAAAATTTTTTTGGGCTTTGAGGTAGAGTATACACTCTCCTTTGCTCATCTGTAATTCCTCAAGAAGGCTTAAAGCAGAGACCATGACACTTGCTTTTCAACAAAGCTTAGGCAAGGTACTGACAACTTGCATGCACAGGCCAAGAACCATGGACAACTTACCCATCTTTCACATTTTATCATAGAGATTTCACAAAAGCTTAAACATCCATGCTTTGTTCTGGATCAGTAAGCTTTAATTTTGGCTCTTCATGCTCCTCACACCCAGCCTTCTTTTCACCTGTAGTCAGAGCTGCCTGCAGCCCCTGTGTTTTCCTTACTCCCCAACCCAACTGTATTCCTTCTCTCCCCATTTTCTGCCCCTTATTCCTTCTCTGCATGTCCTACTGTCCCGAAGCAGTTTCTACCCTTGGATCCTCTTGAGGACCGTGCAGGCTTCTGCATGAGAATAAAGTTTCTAATGGAGAAAATTTCAACCAAAGGCCAAAGAAGTAGAGGGAGAAACACCTTTATTGTCAACAGAAGTGGTAATGGTTATAAGCTTGTAGAAAGTGTTAACTATAAGAGACAATAAACCAGGAACTGGGGTGGAGGTGATGGTAAAATGAGGAATCTTACAAAGATTAACCTAGATGTTACCCTTGCTCTGAGATTACGTCACCAAGGGAAACATATTTAATATTGCCCAGTGGCTTAACCTCTCCTTCCTTTCCTTTGTTCTTTCTTTGGTGGTGGCTGGATTACAGAGTAGTGATCTGCTCTGAAGTTAGCAGTAGTACCTAACACTAGGTGTCAGAGGTCAGTTGTTGGTTTAGAATACATCCAGGCTGTTAACTTATAGATGTGCTTCCCATGAGGGTGGAGAATTTCTTCTCTGACATGGCCCAGAAACAGTGCTCAGGCCACTAGCCCCCCCATTCTCTGTTGGGAACAGTCATACCCAGGTTTCCTGGCAGGACTTATGGATCCTGTAGCCTTGTCCCCTTCAAACAGAATTGAAATCGACAATGAGACAGGACCCAGGAGTCCCAGGCAGAGCCAGAAAGAGTTCAGCATTCTTCCCCTGATTCCTATTCCTGGACATGGTTCTTAAGATCCGGTTGTCAATAAACCTGTAGTTAAGCTGGGGATTGCCCAGTAGAATTCTCGACAAGCAGAAGGAAGCGCCAGAAACACGTGTTGACATAAGGAATTGATCCGTCGGGTTTCTTCCACACTCATAGCACATGCCTTCCTTCCTGGGATATGGGAACCTCTTCTGTGTGCACCCCCTGATGGTGGATGAGGGAAGGGTTCTTAGTGAAGATTTTCTCACACTGAGAGCACTGGTAAGGCTTTTCCCGTGTGGGTTTTCTGGTGGGCACTCAAGTGGGAGCCATTGTTGAAGCTTTTCGCACACTGCCCACACTTGTGTGGGCTCTCCCCAGTGTGGACTCGCCGGTGAGCGCTGAACTGGGAGCTGTTGTTGAATCTCTTTGCACAGACAGTGCACTGATAAGGCTTCTCCCCCGTGTGGGTCCTCTGGTGGACAATGAGGCTGGAGCTCTGGTTGAAGCTTTTCCCACATTCCCCACACTGGTAGGGTCTCTCCCCTGTGTGAGTTCTTAGGTGGGCAGTGAGGTTGGAGCGCTCGCTGAAGCCTTTCCCACACTCACTGCACTTGTGAGGCTTCTCTCCCGTGTGGATTCTCTGGTGTCGAACAAGATAAGAACTTCGGCTAAAGCTTTTCCCACATTCGTGACATTTAGAAGGTTTTTCCACTTTGGGGACTGGCTGGTGGTGAGAGGTAGAACTCTGAGAGCAGTTTCTCCCACACAGGAAATGTGTACAGGCCTTTTCCCCAGTACGAAGTCTCTGGTGACTCATTCTCTTCTGGGATGGGGGTTTCTCCTCACTCTCCCCTGGAGAACATCTTCGTTGCCTTCTTGACACTGGAGCACCCGCCCAGCCTCTTTTTAGCTCAGAATGCCAGAAGACTTCACTGGACTTTCTCTGAAAAGGCTTGCTAATTTCTGCTTCCTCTGTATCATCCCATTTCCAATTCTCTTTTGTAATCCCGCTCTTGATCTCAATACCTGCAAGAAGAGAAATACATCAGACTGTCGGGACTTCCCTGGTGGTGCAGTGGTTAGGAATCCGCCTGCCAATGCAGGGGACACGGGTTCGAGCCCTGGTCCAGTAAGATCCCACATGCCACGGAACAACTAAGCCTTTGTGCCACAACTACTGAGCCTGCACTCTAGAGCCCACGAGCCACAACTACTGAGCCCGCGTGCCACAACTGCTGAAGCCAACGCACCTAGAGCCTGTGGTCTGCAACAAGAGAAGTACCGCAGTGAGAAGCCCGTGCACCACAATGAAGAGTAGCCCCCACTCACCACTAGAGAAAGCCTGTGTGCAGCAACAAAGACCCAACGCAGCCATAAATAAATAAATAAATAAATAATTAAAAAAATACATCAGACTGTGGAGCAGGAAACAATGGAATGAGGAAAGAATTACAACTAAACTACCTTTAAGAAGAAAAACTAATTGGAATTCTCATGTGATTCAGGCTTCTGCTAATTAAAAACCTAAGTTTTATTTTCCAATTGTAATATCTTTAAGCTCCAAATTCTATGATCACAGGTAAATATACCCAAAACTCCATCCACCCACTTTGCTCCTATTGCACCTCTTTTTGGATGTTCTGACACAATGAGTCAAGGAGTCAAGCTGTTTGTCATCTGTCTCAGTTCTTGAATGGCCTGGCTTCTGGGAAGAGTAACAAAAGGCCACCCCGGGTTTAACCATCTCAAACAGGAAGAAGGCAAGTTGCTGGGCATCTGGGAAGCCCAGGCTTAGATTTGAAAGGAGGGTCAGTGCTGGAGAAGGAGAGAGAGTCTGGGCTGGAGACCTGACTGGCCATCTATGGAAGCAAAGTAAGTGCAAATCCATGGGGAAGAATGACACGGACCCTGTGAAAGAGGCCAGCAAAGCAAAATCGGGGCTCTGAAGTGCAAAGGAAATAATCCTTAACCATGAAAACCAAGACTCTCTGGCCTATGTCAGGTCTACATCAAGATGATGACAAGGCCAGGAGCAGAATGGCTCTCTGGTGATGCCAGGCTAACGGCCCTAAGTGGACTTTCCCATGCTTTGACCGAGAGTCAAAGCCAAGAGTCTTACCACGTCTGTTTGGGAACAGGTCTGGCAGGCCAACCCTCCTAACCGCCTGGCCAGGATCCCTGAAATCCTCTTCCTCCCAGTCTTCACCATCCACGGTGGTACCTTCTCCAGCCTATGTGGGCCCCCCATTCTGCTGACTCAGCTCTCTAGCCTCAACTTCCCTCTTGGCCAGGATCAGTACTGCTTGCCATAGTAGGTGCAGAGGCCCAGGGGCTGGAAAGGGCATCAGTTTCCTCGTAAAAGATACAAGGCTCAGGCACATAGCCTCTCCTCATGTTGCGGGAACTCAACTGCAGGCTTTTGCACTTGGTGCGATGCTGCTCTGGGGTCTGCAGAAAGCTTTGCTCCTGGAGTTGTTCCACCAAGGCCCTGGAGATCTGGCTGTTCTGCTGATGGGTCTGGAGTTTTTCATAAAACTGAGAATGGCCAGGAGTGTCTTGGTCTCTTCATAGCCCCAGTGCACACTTGCTGCCAGGAGACAACTCAGTGACCAGAGCAGGGCAGGCTGATACCGCAGTGCAGGGTTTTAGCAGCCCAGGAAGCCACATCCTAGTCTCTCAAATTATGCCATGCTGGCTACTGTTGTTCCTGGGGAGATCTCACTGTGCGCTTGTTCCTAAAGCAACAACTTCCAGTGAAATCCTCTCCAGCTGAGGAGGGGTTGTAGAGTCTTTACCAAAGCTTCTGCTTTTATTTCTCTTTATCCTGAATCCCACTAATTTCCCCTGAGAGATGATTCACGATAAGCCTCGTGCTTGTCTGTCTCCAGGGTGGTGGGAACCTCTGAGGGTGAGTGGCCATATAAGAGGACCTGGTGAACAGGTAAGACTTGGATGGAAGCAAAGATTCACAAGAGGGAAGATAGGATACTTCTGCTAAGCCCCACCTCTGATGTCTGAGTCCCTCCTGATCTGGCTCCTATACATCTGTTTATATCTCTTGTCATCCCTGTGTATGCAAGAAACTGAATTACTGCAGGTAGTGTCCCAAGGTGAGAATAAGTAGTAAAGGTCTGGGAAGAGCAGTTCAGGAAGGCTGGTTACTCAAGAACACTCAGCACAGGCCCCACAGGGGCTGCCCATCTGGGCCGGTGGCTGAGGGCTCATTTGTCTAGAGCCGTCCCAGCAAATGCATTCTGACCACATCTGGTCATGATGCTCTGAAGGGCACGCAGCCTCTTCTCATCACCCTCTAGTCCACTCTTCTCTGAGCCACTGTCTTCTTGTGCCTGGATTACTGCAGTGGCCGCCTACCTGGTCTTGACTCTCCTCTGGACCTCCTACAGTCTCTCTCAATCCAGCTGTCAGAGTGGGCCCCTCCTCTTCATTCAACTCAACTAACCTCTGTGAGTGCCAGCAGGCCAGTTTCTGAGAAATGCAACTGTCATATGACATGGACCCTGCCTTCAAGAAGACCACAGTCCTCCAAAGGTCTCCGTAAGAAAACGGAGACACAAACACGTGTTTAAATAGAGTTAAGTGTCAAATAAATTGAAATTCTCAACATGATCCTTTTAAAACTATTACTCCTCTGCTCAGAATCCTGCAAGGCTACCCCATTTCACACAGAAAAAGCCAGAGTCCTTACTAAGTCCTCTATGTAGGGCCTGAGGCCCTAGGTTAGTGCTTCTCAAAGTATCTGTGAAGAACCAGGTTTTTTTGTTTTTCAAAATACATTGAATATGCAGTTAGATGGTGCAGCAATGTCAGATTGCTATAAAAGTTTCTAAACGCTCGCTCTCAATTTCACTCTCAGTAGTGCTGCCCCACGTGATCTGGTTCTGACCTTGTTTATTACTCTCATCCCCTCTCAATCTGCACCAGGCACACTGGCCTCCTTGCCCAGGCTCCTCCGGCTCAGAGCCTTTGCACTGGTGATCCCCTCCGACTGTTACAGTCTCCCCAGAGAGTCACACAGTTCACCCATTCTCCTTCACATCTCTAATGTCATTTTCTCGGTGAGAACTACCCTGACAACCCAAATTAAAAATGCAACCCACCCTCTGTCCCCACATGCTCCATCACTCTTATCCTGCCCCATTGCCCTGCAGCTACAATGGAACCTGATTCCCAGACTAAGATGACAGCTCTCTGAATCCACACAGCGGCTCCAGCTAGGACATCACCCACCTTCCACAGAGAACACAGTGCTCCTTCTCCAGGCTAACATTAGCTTCGTTCTTTTATGTTCAGTTAACAAAATCTAGATATAACATTTACTCACACAATTTACTTCTTAGGTCACAGAAACAGCCCAGGCTTTGGCTTTACAATTTACAACTCAAAAGAAAATCCCCTGGGTTACCAAGACAACATAATGGTTTAGGTACTGCTTTTCCCTGTGTGTAACCTGCAGGTGGCCGAGTGAATGGCTTTATGTTGGGTGTCCACTAGAGCCTTCATCCCAGCATTTCCCCAGCAGTGAGGGAACAGGAACAGTCCTCAACTTACAGCTGGAAGACAAGGCACAAAGTGGGGGCATGGTTTGCTTATAGGTGACAGTACCAGGACATGTGTGCTGAGAGGCCCTCACCCAGGTGGCTCTGGAGCTGGCTGTAGGTGTGGGGACTCCAGTTTCCTGGACTGGCTGCTTCCTGTCAAATTTGTAGCTGTCTCAGGGCTTCCCTGGTGGCGCAGTGGTTGAGAGTCTGCCTGCCGATGCTGGGGACACGGGTTCGTGCCCCGGTCCGGGAAGATCCCACATGCCACGGAGCGGCTGGGCCCATGAGCCATGGCCGCTGAGCCTGCGCGTCCAGAGCCTGTGCTCCGCAACGGAAGAGGCCACAACAGTGCGAGGCCCGCATATCGCAAAAAAAAAAAAAAAAAATTTGTAGCTGTCTGAGCCCCCCCACTGTGTCCTCGAGCCTCGCCTCTTTGCGCTTCCATGGCCCTTGGCTTGGCCCTTTGGCCTCAACAGCCCTGTCTGCCAAGCTCCTGGGAGAACTGGAGGAGCCCTGTGAGGCCGGCAGAGCTTCCTTCTCCTCCTGAAAGGCACAGGGTGCCTGGCTGCAGCCTCCCCTCCTTCGACAGTCACTGGCCCAGAGGCTTCTGAACTGGTTCATGCTGCTCCAGAGTCTGGTGGAAACCTCGTTCACACAAGAACTCAGCGACTTCCCCACAGAGCTGGCTGCTCTGCTGGTGCTCCTGCAGTTTCTCATAAAACCGAGGCTGCTGAGAACAGACAGGAGAGTCCTGGTGTCCTCGGCCGCCCAGGGTGGGCCAGGCTCTGTCCCATTTGCTGAGTCTGGCTCTTGTGCTTCACCCTTGATTTCTTCTTCCCTGTTTGCTGGTGTCTCATGGGCTTTCACTCTAGTCTCCCTTGTGGAAGTCTTAGGCCTTTTCCTTGCCCTGCAGCCCTGCATATCTGGGGTCCCTGCGTGTTCTCTGATCCAGCCCAGGATGTCCTTCCGACCATGAATGAGCAACCCTGCATGTGGAGATGCAGGGAGGAGACATCAAGGCTGCAGAGCATCTGTCTCTGAATCTGATGGTCGGGGAGGCTGCTTTGAGGAGGAGCAGCCCAGATGGGGCAAAACTGATTTGAAAAAAGGCAAGAGATCGGTCCAGAGACTCTGAAAAAGGGCTCTTGTTGCCTCCTGAAGGGCCTGGGCATAGAAGGAGACTATCACGGTTGGATTCTCTTGTCTTTCAGTCTCCTCTGCTCCCCAGGACCTATCACAGCTGTGTGTGTGAGCACAAGTTCACTCATCTCTCCTCTGTTCCCAGCACAGCCTGTGCCTCCCTAGCTGCTGTCTGTCTTCCCTCTCCACTCATCCTCTGCCTCCCACACGCTCTGTCCCCACTGCCCCTGTCATAAGCCCGTGCTTTCCCTTCCTTCTATCACTCTGTCCCTCTCTGTGTCTTCCTTTCTCTGTGTCTCTTGTCGCCTCTCAGTATGTTCCTGTTCTTTCTTTCCCCCCACCCAACAAGCTCCCCACTGCCTCTCTGTCTCCTTTCCTCTTGGGTTCTCTTGGTCTCTCTGTCTCCAGACAACTGAACACATTCACTCTGGACCTAGAGGGAAACGTGGATCCTTACCCAGCCAGGCCCTGTAGAGGGCCCTCTGTTTGGGGCCCAGGTGTTATCTGCCCTTCCTGACAGAGGGATATGGCTCTGTCCTCACATGTGGCTCGTCTCTGTAACAACACAGGGGTCTGCTGCTACCGATAAAATAGCACCGCTCTAGCTTGGGGTGGGGCAGAGACAGGACCACGGGTATCAGATCAGGGGCAAAGCTAGGCAGGGAAAGGTCAGGCCTCCAAGAGAAGGATCGGGATGGGTAAAAAGCCATATGATGATGTCAGTGGACAGAACAAGGAAACAACCCAAGAGAAACTCAATGGACCACGTAAAAATCTTTCCAGCATCTCTAGAAAATAAGGGACTTTAGGCTGAGAGTGAGCGCAAGATGAAAAGGGAACTTAAAGAGACAAAAGGTATCCACCGTAGCTCACCTGGGCCCCAGCTATGTGGAGCACAGCACCTGTCTCCTGGTCTCCAAGACCCCTCCTCTGAGGAAGGTTCCCGGGAGCCTGCAGAGTAAGCCAGGCTAGGGGAGAAAACAGCCACTGTTAGAGGGCGGCCTCCACGTAACAGCCACAGAGCAGAGGTTGTGAGTGGGGTCCCCAGGCCAGCAGCCTCAGCAGTACCTGGGAGCTCATCAGAGATGCATATTCCTGGGCCCCACTGGTATATAATGAATCAGCAACTGTGGGGGTGAGGCCTGGGAATCTGTTTAACGCCCTCAGGTGAGTCTGATGCATAGTCAAGTTTCAGGACCACTGCCACAGACAATGGCCTGTGTGTTAAGAAGTTCCTTTCATCAGATCTCTCCTGACATAATAGCTTTAAAAAAATTTTTCATTCTAAAGAAATATGTGCATAGTATATATATATTTTTTAATTTATTTATATTATGTATTTATTTTTGGTTGCGTTGGGTGTTCGCTGCTGTGCGCGGGCTTTCTCTAGTTGCAGCGAGCGGGGGTCGCTCCTCGCTGCTGTGCCTGGGCCTCTCAGTGCAGTGGCCTCTCCTGCTGCGGAGCACGGGCTCCAGGCATGCGAGTTCAGTAGTTGTGGCTCACGGGCTCTAGAGCACAGGCTCAGTAGTTGTGACGCACGGGCTCAGTGGCTCCGCGGCACGTGGGATCCTCCCGGACCAGGGCTCGAACCCGTGTCCCCCGCATTGGCAGGCGAACTCTTAACCACCACGCCACCAGGGAAGCCCCATAGTATATTTTTTAAAAATTTTAATAGAATACTTGGGAGCTAGGGGAGGGAATGTCTCATTGCCCAACCACTCAGAGATGACTATAATGCTTTTTTTTTTTTTTAATTTATTTATCTAGTTTTTGGCTGTGCTGGGTCTTCGTTGCTATGCGCAGGCTTTTCTCTAGTTGCGGCGAGTGGGGGCTACTCTTTGTTGTGGTATGTGGGCTTCTCACTGCAGTGGCTTCTCTTGTTGTAGAGAACAGGCTCTAGGCGCATAGGCTTCAGTAGTTGTGGCACATGGGCTCAGTAGTTGTGGCACATGGGCTCAGTAGTTGTGGCTTGTGGGCTCGAGAGCACAGGCTCAGTAGTTGTGGCACACAGGCTTAGTTGCTCTGCGGCATGTGGGATCTTCCTGGACCAGGGCTCAAACCGGTGTCCCTTGCATTGGCAGGCAGATTCCTAACCACTGTGCCACCAGGGAAATCCCCTATAGTGCTCTTAAAAATACCATGGGAATTCGATTCTTTTTTTTTTTCAGACCAAGATAATACATTCTTTTCCAGATCTCCATCTTCAAGAATAGTACAAAGAAAATGGTACATTTTGATGACTTATTAGTGGAACTTGACCCCTGGGGAGGTTTCACCACTTGGGAGCAGCCCGCAGGTACGGTGAGCTGAGGTTGCAGAACGTGGAACACAGTGAGTCCTGCCCCCTTTACTCAGACCCCAAAGTCTCAGAAATCACACACCAAAGAGCACAGATGTTCCCAAGGATTAAAAGTAAATAAATTCTAAATGGCAAAGTTTTCTAACATATTGATAGTGTATTTACTTCACTTAAAAAATACAAAAGCAGGGACTTCCCTGGTGGCGCAGTGGTTGAGAATCTGCCTGCTAATGCAGGGGACACGGGTTCGAGCCCTGGTCTGGGAGGATCCCACATGCCGTGGAGTAACTAGGCCCATGAGCCACAACTACTGAGCCTGCGCGTTTGGAGCCTGTGCTCTGCAACAAGAGAGGCCGCGATAGTGAGAGGCCCCCACACCGCGATGAAGAGTGGCCCCCGCTTGCCACAACTAGAGAAAGCCCTCACACAGAAACGAAGACCCAACACAGCAAAAATAAATAAATTAATTAATAAACTCCTACCCCCCCCCCCAAAAAAATACAAAAGCAAATAAACTCTTAAGACTGTTTCTCATTTCATCAACAGAAGCTTGCCTTTTTAAACAGCATGAAGACACAGTGCTTTTCTTTAGGATCTGAGTTAAATAAAGGTAAGGTGGCTTTAAAATAATTACTTAGAAACCTGTAAGGGCAGCTTTGAATTACACAGAAAAGGCAGCAGTGGCCTTTACATAGTCTAGAAATGTATGCAGCCAAAGTGCTTCACAGAAAGAGACTTATAAAGATAGAGCCTTGGTCTGTCTGCGCAATGGAATATTACTCAGCCCCCAAAACAAACCAAGTAGTGATACTTCGTAGGCTGGAAACGTGATAAATGAGAGAGGCTAGAAACAAAAGGTCATATATTGTAGGATTCTATTTCTATGAAATGTTCAGAACAGGCAAATACAAAGAGAGAGAATGAGGAGCAACTGCTTAATGGGCATGGCGTTTATTTTGGGGAGGATGAAACTTTTGGAATGAGACAGAGGTGGTGATAGTACAACATTGTGACTGTACTAGATGCAACTGAATGGTTCACTTGAGATGGCTAATTTTACATTAGGTGATGAATTTGAGATCAATTAAATTTAATTAAATTTTTAATTAACCTTTTTCTAAAAAATTAGGACAATTTTTTAAAAAAGCACTGGAAGAAAGGAAAAAGTAATAGGAGAAATGTATTTTGGAAGAGATTAAGCTGGATGGAAGGGGGTTGTATTCAAGTTCATGAAGAACTGCTCTGTAGAAGGTGAGGTAATTATGCTCACCTTTAGTAACACCTGATTCAGAAGCAATAGAATTAACTTGTGATAAGAGAGAATTAAGCTAACACATAAAGGATCTCCACCCACATTTTAAGTGCTAGTACCATCAATTATAATTTGAAAACTTGATTTTTGGATGTATCTCAAAGGCATGTAATCTGGAACCCAGGGGCCAACTTGAGCTCAGACCTGTATTTCCAAGAGATGACTGTCCCTCACACCTTGGGGGAGGGCAGAGGCTTCTGCTTACCTTCTGACTGTCCCCACGGTCTCTGGGGTGAGCTCCGTGACCCCTTCACAGTCCATTCTTCTGGAAGAACCCCCTGTTTCAGGTGGGATCTCAGTGATTCTCTGGCTGCTCCCAAAGAGGCCGTCTCCTCGATGGGCATTTTCAAGTCCTTCCCAGATTCCGGGACCTGAGAACAGACCCCATCATCTGTCACTACAAATTCCTGTCTAAAGTGACAGAGGAGAGATACTGAGAGGTAGCTGGGTTATCACCTCCCTTACTGCTTCTCACCTCCACTTCCTGCTCTCCCCTTCACCCCCCTGATGGGTTTCAAATAGCCATTTTAACCCTTACATTCCTATACTGTTTTCATTCACATTAAGAGTGTGATCCTGAAATGGTGGTGGACAATAAGGGAGAGATGGTCCACACAGAAATGGCAAGGGGAACCGGGACCAGGATGACTGTTAGCACAGAGGGATTCCCGCTCTGCTTAGGTCCCCTCTCCAAACTCTTAACTTCGTACATGTGCTCCACTGCCCTTCTCCATCCATCCTGGTTATTATTAACAGTCTCCAAACCATGGATATTAAATTAACTTCCCCCATTTCTAATGCATCACCACCATACTGCTCCCCCCTCCAAATTATGTCAAAACCTTTCAATCCTATGAAATTTCACCGACACCCCGTTCACCACTCTTCCTCCTACAGCTGGTGTGCACATCCGCCTCCTCGCTGGGAAACGCAAGCACATCCTGATCCAGCCATGCAGACTCGGGCGCCAGCAGGCTGCTTCCTGCTCTGGCCACAGTCACGTTCAGGCTGGCACTCCTCTGACCCACACTCCTCCGTTATTCGTTGCCTCTCCCAGATTTCTGACCTGGATTTCAGCCGCCTTCTTCCCACAGAATCTCCCACAACTGAAGCCCTCATGTTTCTTTTCCTTCTCCTGTGCCTTTCACACCCTCCTTCTCCCAAAATATACAAAACATTACACTGAGTGGATCTCAGACCGAGTCCTTACCTCTACAAGTAGGTATTTTGTGAAACTCATCACTGTCCCAAACTGACCACTTAATTCAGGCAGCAAGGACCGGCTCTAATATGACTTTGTTTAGTGTACAACACATGACACACTCCTTCAAGGAACCTTCTAGCAAGAGAGATTAGATTTAAATTCAACAACATCTCTAATTTTCCTGACCTGCTGAGTGAAGGATTGTTGTCCTTTTCCTCGCCTTGTTTTGGAGAGTGTTATCTCACTTTTAATTAGTGACTCCAAGGTTTCAGTGAATATATGAATGTCTAAGTTATTTCAGCAAATGAGAAATTCTTCCCATAGACCAAGGACATAGGACCAAGGCAGGATAGCTAATACTTTCTGGGCAGCAGACAGCTTCTGGCATTTCTCAGCTAAGCGCCTCTCCAGTAACTGGATTCTTGAGCTCCTCACACCAACTTCTTCATGACTAAAACCACAAGGTTCTGACTGACTTTTCTCACCTGCTGCCCAGGTGCTCTCTGTACATCCTCAACCAGAGCCACAGCTTCATCACCATTTTCTGGACACTGCTCCCTCACCCAGTTCTGGATCTTTTCTGGCAAGATGGTCAGAAACTGCTCCAAAACCAGCAGCTCCAGGATTTGCTCTTTTGAGTGTGTCTTAGGCCTCAGCCACTGACAACAGAGTTCCCAGAGTTTGCTAAAAGCTTCATGTGGACCAGCTACCTCCTGGTAGCAGAACTGCCGGAAGCGCTGGCGGGAAGCTTCATGGTCAGGGCCGTTGTTGTGCAGGGCTGATTTCTGTCCCTGTGTGGAGTCCTTGCTTGGGGACGGGTGTGCCTGGGAACTCCTTATTGCAGCCATGGTTTGCTTCAACGAACTGGCTTACTGGTTGCCACTTCCATCCTGCAGATCAGATTCCATCTCTTTTCTTATCACTGGGAAGCGGGTCTCCTGGATACCAGTGAAAAGTGTGTCTTTTTGGAATCAGAGACATGAGCATTTCATAGACATGCAGACTCAGACGCACACTTGAAAAAGGCTCAGTGAGGCTGAAAAGAATCAAAAAAGATAGCATGAAACCATCCCATATTCCTCCACTCTAGTTCTTATGTTTTGTTTTTTTTTAATGCAGTACGCGGGCCTCTCACTGTTGTGGCCTCTCCCGTTGCGGAGCACAGGCTCCGGACGCGCAGGCTCAGCGGCCATGGCTCACGGGCCCAGCCGCTCCGCGGCATGTGGGATCTTCCCGGAACAGGGCACGAACCCGTGTTCCCTGCATCGGCAGGCGGACTCTCAACCACTGCGCCACCAGGGAAGCCCAGGCTGATTTCCTTTTCATTCGGCAAGGATTCCCTGAGTACTCCAGTGCACTCGATGCTAGGGTTAGGTCCTGCGGCTGAAATGGACTAGGAAACAAGTCCGCGGGCTCCCGCTCCGGTCTCCCGGGGGTGAGACGGGCAGGGCCACAGGCCGGAGAGAGTCCGCGCTGGGGCACAGGGATCGGGACAGCCCAGGCCAGCTCGGGTGGGCCGGGGCGAGGGGCCGCGTCACAGGAGGGTGACCGCCGAGCGTGCGAGGGGCGCCCTGACCTGGCCCAACTGCCTCAGACAACTGCCAGCAGCAAGCCCCCGGCCGCCAAGAAGCGGAGCACTCACCTGACGCACTCACTCGCGACTCCCCAAACTCGCTCGGCTCCCGGGCCGGAAGTCAGCACCGCGAGCCCCCGCGCGGATCCGCCCACTGCGCTTGCTCGCGAGTCTTGCCAGCGGACTACAACTCCCGGAGTGCACTGCGACGGCGGGGCGCCGTTCTCGCCAGCATCGACAGACCCAGCAGCCGATAGATGAGAGAGGACGCCCCCGAGGAGCCAATCCCTCTGCAGAGAAGGCACGCTCTCCCGTGGCACAGTTTCGCGGCAGCCTGTGGGAGTGTCCGCGGCGAGCGGCTTCTGCCCCGCCCTCAGCCTTGGCTCCTGGGTTCTGGGTCTCCGGTCCCCAGAGAGGTGAGTCGGCTGCAGGTGGGCGTGTGGAGCGGGGCTGTCGGCGGTGCTGCCGTCGCAGGCGCCACCCCCGGCTCGCACCCGGCCACGTAGTTGAGCCGCGCGCCAGAGTGCTGCAGCTTCGCCAAGCCCCGGGCCAGCTGGGGCGCGGAGTCGGAGCCGGGCGCCCTCGGAGGCCGGAGCGGCTGGGCCTCGGAGTCTCGGGGGTGAGCAGCCGCTGCGCCTCCGTGTACCTTGCTCGCTAGCAGGAGGTTTCCGCTAACTCACAACCCCCAGCGTGCGCCGTGGCCTGCCTGGGCTCGCCCTGTAGCGCCCGGCGAGATGCTGGAAGTCGGCCTGTGGAGGATGCGGGGGAGCTGGTGCAGGCTACCTGGATGACAGCCTGAACTTTTCCCAGGGATTCCTGCCAGCCCATTAGGTCACGTTGCGCATTTTCCTCTGAGACCTCTTGTGCTTGCCGCTGAAATAAAAGCGGTATTTCCCCCAGTTTCCTTTTAGGACATTATGACTTTTCTCCTTTGCAAGACAGTTCAAGAAACTGGCAGAAAAACAAACTCTTCCCACTCTCAGGGACTGTGTTGTCTTCAGGAGTTTGGGGTCAAGTTCAGCGAATGAGGAGGCTCTGTTTGCATCCTTTCCTCTCCAGTATTCTCAGAGGAGCTTCGTTTCTAGCATCTTTCTAGCATTCAGGGCCATGATCCCGAAGGCTTGAGCTGTTTACAAGGAGAGAGAAGCTGTCTCCTGAGCCCCAAAATGGCGGCTAAGATGGAGATAACTTTGAGCTCGCAGTCCCACATTCAGGCTTCCTCCAAGCAAGAGAGACATATAATAGCAAAACTAGAAGAAAAACGGGAGCCCGCTCTGCAAAAAGACTGGCCCGATCCTGAGCTCTCCCGCCAGAGTTTTAGACGGTTTTGTTATCAAGAGGTGTCTGGACCCCAAGAGGCGCTCTCCCGTCTCCGGCAGCTCTGCCGTCAGTGGCTGCAGCCTGAGGTGCACACCAAGGAGCAGATTTTGGAGCTGCTGGTGCTGGAGCAGTTTCTGAACATCCTGCCTCCGGAGATCCAGGCTCGGGCCAGGCATCAATGTCCAATGAGCAGCAAGGAGATTGTGACCCTGGTGGAAGATTTTTACAGAGCAGCCAAGGGACCAAAGCAGTGGGTAAGGAGGGTACTTTCTGTGGTCTCCAGGATTTCTTTTTCATCTTTCTTTTTCATCTGGTTAGTGTTTGGTTCCTGGACCCCTCCCTAGATAGAGTCCAGAATTTCAAAGGTTGCTTCTGGCCTCTGTTTGGAACCCTCCTCCCCCCACCCTCCTAGGGAGATGTAACAGGTTTTCAGAAAACCCAGCCACAGGCATTCCAGTGAGAAAGTAGAGGATCAAGTAAGGCTCTTGAAACTTTGCTGACAGATCTCCCCTTACGCTTTCTTTTTGAAGTTTTTCTACAGTCAGGATTCATAGCAGGCAGGGTCATTCTACTGGATAGGAATTTGATTTGGGAGGAACTTTATTAGACCTTGTCTGAAGTGTCTTGCATATTGCCTTTGGATCAGGAAACTCCAGCTCAATTGGCTAGTATTCCTTCCAAATCCCACCCCCAAGTCAGACCGCAGTAGGAGCCTAGGGAGGAAGCAAACAATCATGTGCTTTGGTGAACAGAAGCAGTTAGGGAACAGGGGTAGGGCAATCCTCTTACTACTGAGATCTCCTTACCAGGAGAGCCTTGGGCAAAACAATTTATTGGTAAGGGTGGTTTTTAGTGGCCCCCACCCTACTGCTTCCTGATCCTACGGGGCCTGTTTCCTCCAGAAGCAGGGAGGCAAGTGAGCATAGGGTAGGAACCTGCTGGGTGGGTGTCATGGCTGACCCTGATATATTTGTGCCTGCTCTCTGATGACTTTGACTCCAGGCCTTGAGAAAGCCCCAAGCTTTAAGGACAGGAAGTATCGGCTGATTTGAAGCAGCCTCCTTTTGGTCATTCTGCACGTCCTTCCCTTTGCTTCCTTTGAGAGTTTCAGCATTCTCTCTCAAGGTTGACCCCCAGGCCATTATCAGAAATTTCCAGGGAAAAACAGTCATTACAGAGCAGTGAGAGGTCAAGCTGCCCTCAGACAGCCCTTGAGTTGTGCTCTAATGCATGGGGCTTGTTCCTAGGTGGCTGTTTGTATGGAGGGTCAGAAGGTGCTCTTGGAGAAAACTGGATCCCAGCTTGGAGAACAGGAACTGCCAGACTTTCAACTGCAAACTCCTAGCAGATATCCCAGGGAGAGCTCTCTGGAGGAGACGTCCCAGGCAGGATCTCAGGATCAGCGGAGCCCCCGTCATTGGGAAAAATCCCTGCTCCTCCAGGACCCAACCCCCAAATTGGCTGAGACAGGTAAACACTCGGTGCCTCTTCTCTCTCTCTCTCGTCATCCCCTTATCTCCATCAAAGCATTTCATGGTTCTAAAAAGCCATAGACCAGGTATTGGGCTTTTTTTTCAATATTGTATGTGATAGTAGATCTTTATTCTCCAACGAATTTCACGAATTAGAATGGTAGTGTTACTAAAGTGTGCTTTTATCATTTTCTGTTCATGACTATTTGAGAATCCAGTGCACAGGATTATTCTAGTGCCTACTTTTCTGTCCCTTTCAGAGCTACTTATAGTGAAGACAAATCCAAATATGACCACTGATGAACTTCCATTCAAGCTGTGGCTGAGTTTCGTCACTTAAAATGGTCCCATGTTTAGAAGGAACCTAAACAAGATTCTGCTAATTAGAGAAAAAAAACCCTCTCCGTTTTATGTTTTGCCTCTTTCTCCTCCTGTGACATTGTCCGTGTCCATTTCCTTATCTGTCTCTGGTACAATGCCAGTATAATTGCAGGCCCTGCTCCACACAGTCCTGTGGTCTCTCTGACTGAATGAAAGTGACACTTTGGCCAGTCTTGGTGATGTGAATACAGGATATGGTCAACAGGTTAGAGAAGAAGGTTACAAGAAAGCTAGATTCCTTAAGATTTGCTACATTCAGCGAAACACTTTGATTTCATTATTCTCAAAACTCATGAATGGAGAAGACTAGGGCATCCAGCAGGAAAGCACTGTGGCCCTGGCTGAGGTCCCGCCTCATAACCTACGGCCTTCATGGTCCTAAAGAAAGTGGACCACACGTATTCCCTTCTGCCTCAGCAGAGGCAGCTGGGTGTGCATGCTGTCTCCATTTCCTTTTATTTGATTCCAGAGAGGGTGGAGTCTCATGCTCAAGGTTCATCCATGTTGTAGCATGTGTCAGTACTTCATTCCTTTTTAATGGCTGAATAATATTACACTCTGTGGACATTTCGTCTGTTTATCAGTTGATGGACACTTGGGTTGTTTCCACCTGTTGGCTATTATGAATAGTGCTGCTGTTAACAGTTGTGTACAAGTTTTCGTGTGGATGTCTGTTTTCATTTCTTTTGGGTGTACACCCAGAAGTGGAAATGCTGGGTCCTATGGCAACTCACTGTTTAACCTTTTGAGGTTGGACTTTTCCAAAGTGGCTGCGCCATTTTACATCCAGCAGTCTATGAGTATTCCAATTTCTCTACATCCCTGTTGACACTTGTTATTTTTTGTCCTTTTTATTGCATCCATCCTATTAGGCATGAAGTGGTATCTCATGGAGCTTTTGAGTTATTTCCCTAATGACTGATGATGTTGAGCATCTTTTCATGTGCCTATTGGCCAATTGTGTATCTTCTTTGTAGAAATGTCTATTCAGATCCTTTGCTCATTTTTTAAAAATTTATTTATTTATTTTTGGCTGCGTTGGGTCTTCATTGCTGTGCATGGGCTTTCTCTAGTTGCAGTGAGCGGGGGTACTCTTTGTTGTAGTGTCCGGGCTTCTCATTGCTGTGGCTTCTCTTGTTGCGGAGCACGGGCTCTAGGCATGCAGGCTTCAGTAGTTGTGGCTTGCGGGCTTAGTTGCTCCGCAGCATGTGGGATCTTCCTGGACCAGGGCTCAAACCCGTGTCGCCTGCATTGGCAGGTGGATTCTTAACCACTGTGCCACCAGGGAAGTCCCCTTTGCTCATTTTTAACTGGGTTGGTCTTTTTATTGTTGTAAGAGTTCTTTGCATAATCTGGATACTAGACCCTTATGTATAATTTGCAAATATTTTCTCCCATTATGTGGGTTATCTTTTCACTTCCTTGATAGTATCCTTTGAAGCACAAATGTTTTGGATGTTGAGGAGGTCCAGTTTATCTTTTTGTTTGCTTGTGCTTTTGGTAACGTACCGAATGTGCTATTGCCTAATCCACCATCACAAAGGTTTACACCTTTGTTCTGTTCAAAGAGAGATAGGTTTAGCTCTTACATTTAGGTCTTTGATCCGTTTTGAGTTAATTTTTGTATGTGTTGTGAGTCGGGGTCCAACTTCATTCTTTTGTATGTAGAAATCCAGTTGTTCAGCACCACTTGTTGAAAAGATTATTCTTTACTCCATTGAATTATCATGACAACCTTGTTGAAGAGCAGTTGACCATAATTGTGTGGGCTGCTTTTTAAATCTGAATTTAAATTAAAGTTAAATAAAATTAAAAATTCAGTTTCTCAGTCACACAAGCCACATTTCAAGTACTCAGTAGCCACGTGTGGCTAGTGGCTGCCATACTGAATAGATCTTCCACATGGCAGGAATCCTGTTGGATAATAGCACTGTTGTGGAGTTTCTGTAATGAGGGTGAATGTCTGGCCCATATCCCAATTTCCAATCACATATGCTGTCTATCAACTTCATAATGGAAGAAAATACCACACTTACTGGATTTACCATTATTTGAAGAGAGTGGTGGTCAGTGTCCATGTAAGTGAGGGTATATTTGCAATGTTGAAATTTCTGATGGGTTTACTTTTCCCTATTTCTCCTTTCTTAAACCTTTCCCCAAAGGTAGGAAGGAGGGAGGGGTTGGAGAACTTGTTTCCTAACTTTAGTATACATCAGAATCACCCCAGCTTCCCCCTGTTAACTGCAGACTTCCAGGTTCCATCCCTCAGAGATTCTAACTCAGCAGCCTTGGGGGAGCAGGGGCAGCCTGCTTGGTGGATAGCTGCCCCAGATGAGTCTAATGCAAGTTGCCAAGTGGAGAACAGCACTTTGAGAAACTTTGCCGTGTATCTCATAGCTCTTTTGCTTGGGTTCTTTCTTCGAAGCCCAGAAATGAAACATATTCTTTATAATTATAGAGGCCTCCAGAATGAAAAGTGACAACAAGGAAAATCCACAGCAGGAGGGGGCTAAAGGAGCAAAGCCAGGCACCTTGTCAGTGGGCAGGCCCAAAGGGAATGGTCTGCAGAGCCCCGAACCCAGAGGGGCGACTGTGAGTGAGCCCCGGTTGTCACGGAGGCAGGTCAGCCCCCCACACGCTCAAAAGCCATTTGCTCACTACCAGAGACATTGCAGGGAACTGGAATACATCAGCGGCCCCCTGAAGAGCCACCCACTGAGAGAGCTGAAGAAAAGCAAGGGAAGCAAAAGAAACCTGAGCAGCCGTTTGCAACGTCTTGGTCACCAGCCGACCCGCTCAGCGAAGAAACCATACAAATGTGATGACTGTGGGAAAAGCTTCACGTGGAATTCAGAGCTGAAAAGACACAAGCGAGTCCACACAGGGGAGAGGCCCTACACATGTGGAGAGTGTGGGAACTGCTTCGGGCGGCAGTCCACCCTGAAGCTGCACCAGAGGATCCACACCGGAGAGAAGCCCTACCAGTGCGGCCAGTGTGGGAAAAGCTTTCGCCAGAGCTCAAACCTTCACCAGCATCACAGACTCCACCATGGGGACTGAAAGCAGGGCTGGGTCCTCTCTGTTCGGAAGAAGGTACTTGCATTTCTCCTCCCCCTCGCTTGCATGTAAATCACAAAGACGATCTGCGTGACTTACAAGGGAGAAAACGAGATCCCTGAGGAGTGATGGTGCCCGTCGGGCTGGTGAGGCATCGGTCGGGAAGAGGCTGACAGGGGACTTGATCGTGCATGGGGTCGTGTACGATGATGGGGGAAGAGATGGAAGGTCTAGGCATTGGGTCAGAGAGCACCGGGGTGTCTGTTGGAGAGCGGGGAGTCACTACTGAGGGAGAATCAGGATGATCCTGCAGATGTGCCCCACACCTTGATGTTAAATCTCCTCCTGCTGCTTTATTTATCCTCTAAATCTGTTCAAGGATAAATCCTATATATAGTTATACATTTGCTGTCATACCAGACAATCTTTATCATTGCACACACTCCTTTAATAAAGATGAGTGATCTGCAAGAATTTCAAGACAGAAGTTCATTGGAATGTAAATCCCCTAATATTCTTCCTGTCATTCCTGGCTGTTCATAACAAAGGAAGCATGAAGTGGGAGTATGGACACGTTTGTGTGAGGCAGGGGTCTCCAAGTATTAGTGCTTTTACCAAATAATTACACATACACACACACTAAAGGTTCTTTTTATATCAAAGCACCTTTGATTTGGTAAAAGAAAAATCACAGCTGCTGCAACCCCCCACCCATAGTGATAAGGAAAAGCTACAAGAAGCAAGACTGCTAAGACAGCAAAGGAAATCCTTCCTACTTTCCTTTCTCACTTAGGCCAGTAGCTTTAAGAATAGCAAAATGCTTGGGGTGATGAAAATATACTAAAACTGAATTATTTCAGAGCAAGTACCCAAAATCATTGAAACATTCATTAATTTTATGATATGTAAGTTATACCTCAAAGAAGTTTCTAAAAATGACAAAATGTATTTATGTAAAATGTTAAAGTCCTAGAACTAGGCCTGAGAGATCATCTAATCCCACCCCTCATTCTCTCAAAATGGAAGTTATAACCCAATCAGTATACAATTCTTAGTCACACTGGGCAAGCCAGTGGATCTCCCAGTTTAGAGAAGACTTTTGGTAGGTGGGTGTAGTATGTCAAGCAGGAAACAGGTGCAGGTAGCGTTCTTCCTAAAGCATCAGTAACCTCAGGTCACTGCTAGCCACCTCAGGGCTGTGGTTGTGCTATTGTGTGTCCCCCCCCCAAGGATCTCAGGTTCCTCTGACCACAGAGGGACAGGTGCTCACATGGGCAGCCCTGTCCCCCAGGTCTTTGCACACACTGTTCCCTTTGCCCTTAGGACCCGCCGCCCCCACTCCCTCTCGCATCTCACAAGAGTTGCCAGCTCTGCAAAGCCTCCTCTGACAAGTTCTAGGCAGAGGTAGACTTCACCAGTGGCGCTCAACCTGGTAGCAGTTTCGCCCCCTAGAGGATATTTGGGAACGTCTGAAAACACCGTTGGTTGTTATGACTTGGGGGAAGGGAGCATAGCTCCTGGCCTCTGGTAGGTACAGACCAAGGACGTAGCTAAACATCCTGCAGTGCACAGGATGGCCCCAAAACAGTTATCTGTTCCAAATGTCAGTAGTACCAAGGTTGGGGAACTGTGCTATATATGTTAAAAGCTCTTTAAGGACAGAACCTCGATTTTCCATCACTTTAGCTTTAGAACTTAGCCCACACCCAGCCAGGAGAAATAGGTGTTCAGTAATTGAAGAGTTGAGGGCCCCTGCTTCACCCTGGGGCCCATTCCTGCCTGAATCAGAGATCCCGGTAGCAATCTTTGAATGCAGTGGACAAAACCTCTCATCTTTTGGGCAGAGAGAGATTTAATGGGAGCCCAGTGGCCTGCTTCCTAGTATTTGGTGGCCCTTCAGAATCTAATCCAAGGTCCCTTTCCCAACAATTATGTTAGATGTTAGAAGAGTTTATCTTTATTGTTAGGCCTGCCTGTTATCTCACTCCTGTCCCCTGCCTCTCACTGGTCAGAGCCTCCTGATTCCTTATTCTGTTACCACCTTTTTTTCTCCAGGCCAGTTTCACTGTTGTTTCTTAGTAACTTCCCTAATTATATTTACATCTGTATTAGTTTCCTCTTGGTGCTGTAACAGATGACCACAAACTTAGTGGCTTAAAACAACACAAATGTCTTCTCTTATAGTTCCTGAGGTCAGAAGTCCGAAATCAGCTTCACTGAGTAGAAGTCAAGGTGTCAGGTGGGCTGGTTCCTTTGGAGGCTCTGAGGGGTGAATCTGTTCCCTCGCCTTTTTCAGCTTCTAGTGGCTGCTGGCATTCCTTGGCCTGTGGCCCCTCCCTCCATCTTCAAAGTGCGCCCCTCCCTCCATCTTCAAAATGCATCCGTCCAGTCTCTGTCATCACGTCACCTTCTCTTCTGACTCTGATCCTCCAGCCTCCCTCTTAGGAGGACCTTTATGATTATATTGGGTCCACCCAGATAATCTGAGGTATCTCCCCATCTCTAGATCCTTAACACACCTGCAAAATCCCTTTTGCCATGTAAGGGAACATTCACAGGTTCCAGGGATTAGGATGTGGACCTCTTTGGCGGGGACTGTGATTCAGCCGACCACATCCATCTAGTGAATCAATTCGGTTAGTCAAAGACGATCTCTCCTAAAAGCAAAGGAACATAGATTTCCACTTTCCTTAGATTTGGGACAGGAAATCTCTCTTAAGATAAGAGCTTTGTTTACTTGGTATGTTTTGAAGAACCCGTGTATGTGTGTTTTCTGTCTTCTGATTATGAAATTAATAATTGCTGAATCTTAATGTCTTTGGGTACCTGTTCAACTGTGGACCTTGAATAAATGTGACAAAATCACCACTCTGAATATCACTCACTCCCAAAAGGTTTTCAAGCCTGTGATGCTGCTGCCTCCCCCAGCCCAGTTTTCCTTTGACAGGTAAGGCTCAGCTCCAGGTGAGGAGTGCCCGTGAGGGTCTGAAGTCCTGGTAGAAGGCCCCTGGGCACTCAGCCACATTTGCTGGTCTGTACTCACTTCTTCAAATGTGGGAGTTCCCATGTGTGGTTCCACCAGAGAGTCTCAGCACAAAACATTGACATGCTGACTTACAATCGACTACCCCATACGAGAAAATAACCTCTCTCCTTTTGTGTGCAGCCTTACCCATGGAGCGGTCTGTTAAGTGTCACCATGTTTTCTGAGTTTGCCCTGTACTCACCCATGTGGGGGTGGGATGATTCCTACCTTGGTTATTTGGTCCCCGGCTTACCCCAGGAGACAGGGAGAGGGGAAGATTCCATGCATATGTGAGGGATATGGACCTCACAGATTTCTCTGAAAAGCATTTTCCATCTACAGCAGATAAGGACTTGTAAAACCCATCCCATAATACTGTTATCGCTCCCAACAAAATTAACAACTCCCAAATACCATCTGATAGATAGAGTTGAAATTTCCCCCAGATATTTCTAAAACCAAAATGCTATTTTTTACAACTTTATTGAGATATAGTTCACATATAAAATGTATCCATTTAAAGTGTACAGTTTAATAATTAAAGTAGATTCACAGTGTTATACCACCATCACCATAATCTAATTTTAGAACATTTTCAACAGCCTAAAAAGAAACCTTTGGGACTTCTCTGGCAGTCCAGTGGTTAGGACTCCAGGCTTCCACTGCAGGAGGCACGGGTTCGATCCCTGGTCAGGGAACTAAGATCCCACAAGCTGTACAGTGTAGCCAAAAAAAAAAAAAAAAAGAAAAGAAAGAAACTCTGTCTCATTAGCAGTCACTCCTCACTCCCCATCCCTGGGGCCCCTTGAGCCCCCTTCCTCCTTTCACTCAGCACAATGTCTTCAAGGTTCCTCCATGTGGTAGCACATGTCAGTACTTTATGCTTTTAGTGGCCGAATAATATTTCAGTCTGTGAACAGACCATGTTTTGTGTATCCATTCATCAGTTGATGGACATTTGGGTTGTTTCCACTGATTGGCTATTATGAATAGTGCTGCTATGAACATTCATGTACAAGTTTTCGTGTGAACATATGTTTTCATTTTTCTTGGTTGTATACCTAGGAGTGGAATTGCTGTGTCCTATGGTAACTCTATGTTTAAGAATTTGAGGAACCGCCAGACTGTTTTCCACAGGGTCTGCACCATTTTCCATTCCCACCAGCAGTGTATGAGGGTTCTAATTTCTCCACATCCTTGTCAACACTTGCTATTATCTGTCTTTCTGATCGTAGCCACGCTAGTGGATATGAAGTGGTGTCTCATTGTGATTTTGATTTGCACTTCCCTGTTGGCTAATGATGTTGGCATCTTTCCATGTGTTTACTGGCCATTTGTGTATCTTCTTTGGAGAAACAGCTATTCAAAACCTCTACCCTTTTAAAACTGGGGGTTTTGTCTTTTTATTGTTGAGTTGAAGAGTTCTTTATATATTCTGGATTCAAATCCTTATCAGATAAATGACTTGCAGATATTTTCTCCCATTCTGTTGTAATGTAACTTTTGCACAATTGCAATAACTCTCTTTAAAGCACTGTCTGTCACCTGCCAAAATACAAAACTGACTAATACGGTGACAGTCCTGAATTGCCAGTGAAACAGACGTGTGAGGCAAAATGTCACTCCTGCCTCTAGAAATTCGTCTGGACCAGATAAGGGCAGAGCCAACTAGGGTAGCCCCAGGAACCTACCTTGGTCTACCTACCTGACCTGACTTAGTCAAGTCTGAGGCAGCTCCATAAACAAACCAGAGTGGACTTGGTACCAGGCTAAGACCAAGGATGGTTTTGCTCACAGCTCTGTTGTCCCCCAGCCCCCTGACCTGGATGTGTCACTTAAATTCTTCAAGCCTGTCTCCTCCGCTGGAAATGGGAAGACCCACTCTGCTTACCTCACATGATTGGTGAAGTGAACACATGTGTGTGAAAGTATTTTCTGTAAAGTGTTACATAAAAAGAAAATGAATTATGTGTCAAGTAAAACAGCATCTTGAAATCTCCTTCTGTCAGCTTTTCAGATCCAAATACTTGTGCCTGGAATGAGCAGAGAGGCCACAGGCGTTCGAGGGTGGAGAGGTCCTATTTTCCTGGATTTGGCACTTGCTCACACTGGGGTCGCGGTAGAGAATGTCCTGGAAGGGGAGAAGAATTTCTCCAAAAGTCTGTTTATGAAAAGTTGATGTCCTAGAGGGAGGCACCCCAAAGCAGAGGCACCCGCCCTTTCTTCAATGCCCCTTCATGCTGCTCCTTACTTTTCTTTTTAACATTGACGTTTTAAAAGTTTTTTTATCGTGGTGAAATATACATAACATAAACTTTACCATTCTAACCATTTTTATTGTACGATTCAGTGGCATCACGTACATTCACAATGCTGTGCAGCCATCACCATGATCCATCTCTAGAACTTTTCCATCTTCCCAAACTTAAACTCTGTCCCCATTAAA